CCAACATCAACCTTGCCGAGCTGCAGCTCAACAGCCCCACCTGTCCCGTCACCTACAACAGCACACACTTGACTGCACACATCCCCTTGAATGGCTGCGGCACCAAGACTGTGGTAACATGTTCTACCTTTCTTTTCATTTCTATCTGTCTTAAAATATTTCTCACCCCTCCTGGACTACACCTCCTGTACCTACCAATTTTTGAAAAAGCTAAAGCTATACTTTTTTATATATTGCAGTGCAGAAAATGTGGGAAATTTCTACTTTTGATTGTTTTGGCTGTGCTCTAGCACACTGGGGTTTCAAATAAAACAATGACTAGGGTGTTAAAGTGCTAACTTGGATAACCCTAACCCTATAATGTTTGCTGGTGTTCACATCCGTTTCTCTCAGGGACAATGTTTAAAAAGTCCCAAAATTTATAGACGTACATGAGACAAGGGGCTGCAATAAACTAACTTTTCATTATCGATTAATCTGCAGAATATTTTCTTAATTTATTTTTCACTCAATGAAATGATCAAAAAGATGTTCCTCAGAGACCACGATATGTCTTCATCTTGCTTGTTTTGCCTTACTTCAATTCACTGTCATGAGAGGCAAAGAAAAACAGAGAATGGTCATATTTGAGACCATTTGAAGAACCAGGGAGTGTTTCAATTCTCAAAATAGTTTCTGATTAATTTTCAGTCTATTGACTAAGCAACTCATAAGATAAGGATGTAAACAAAATCCAATCATAAAATCTCTATAAATCTTGCTTCCAGTGCACTGAAAATGATTTAACAGAGGACACATTTCACATGTTCATATACTATAGATAATCATAATGAAAAAGATCCTTCTAATTACGGGCTATTTTTTTCATGTAAATTATTGAATAAGTGGTTTCTACTTGTACATGTGTGCTGCAGAAAACTGTTGACATTTTCAACCTGACAAGGCTCAGCTTTTCATTCTGGTGTTAAGTTACTTATTAAATTCAAAAATACTTTGCAATGACGATTATTCAGCTAAATGTGAATTACGACTGCACTCTTCCCCATGCTTTCCTTTTTTCCAGCAATCAGGTTCAGAGCTGGTTTACACCAACACTTTGCAAAATGTGCGTCCATACACTAAAGTCAGCCGCCTGCCTTCCCTCATCCTCCCTCTGGCCTGCCGTATCCCTGGAGTCCAGGCCAAGGGACCGCTGTACAATGTCAGCATGCCCAAAGAGGTAGAGATCTTCGGTGTGGTTAGGTATTGGATAGAAATTTACCTCCCAGGACAGGGGCCTGTGACACAATCCACACGTTCTCTCCGCCTCTTGCCACAAAGAATGCGTCGGGGAGCTGGATTACCATCAAAGATCAACACCACCTCTACTAGCTCCATTAATAGCACCTCCACCAGCTCCATTAACAGGACCTCCACCAGCTCCCCCAGCACCACCAGCTCCACTTTAGCCACAACCAGCTATGCCATCGGGTCCAAAATCAACCAACTGGACATCTATGTGTTGTCCAACTGCAGCATTGTGGGAGCACAGATGATTGTGAGCAATTGCATAACCTCTAATACATCGGACTTCGCTGAAACTATGCCCTTTCTGAACCAAGGGTTAGTGGCAATTGACTTGTTTCATGTAATAGTTTGAGGTTACCATCTTGGAGAGGACAGATACTGTATGAAATAGAAACATTGACTCTGTTTTGGCTGCAGAAGTTTGAAGCAAATTAAATGCATTACAATAGTTCTCTCACTCTTCTTCTTTCAGGTGTGTAGCCTCCAACAGCACGCTAGAAGTTGTTACAACACAAACCAATTTCAAGATTTTCCGCCTTGATTTGAACTCCATGCAGATCCAAGGATCAACGGTCTGTACACTCATGCAACACAAAATCAGTACATTTTTAGTACTTCTCCATTTCTGGGTATTTTTAAATATTCCAAGAAAGGTCTAAGGAGACAATCAATTTCTCCTACTATAGTTATATTCAGACTTTGTAATGAATAGTTCTATTTAACTGAGTGATGATTCACTGAGTGAACCTGAAGAAGCCATAGGCTAAACACGGTCACAATAAAGTCAAGTCATCTCTTTTAGGGCTTGTTTTTGATTTTTCAGTTGTAATTGAATCTTTGGGTAAGGCACTCATGCAGGCCATCTGAAACAGCTGAGATAAATGCACAGCTGCAGCCACACAGAGCTGCTAGCATGGTCTTCTTATTGAGACTTGAACATGGCATTCTACTTTCCAATTTCCATTTTTCTTAACCAGTGGTTTAATGTATTGATATTCTATTCTTTATTCACGTCTTTTAAATCTGACCAGTTTGCTGCACCCCCAAACCCCCTCTGTCTAGGTTTGCATATGTATATAAATTTTTAAACTTATTTGATCAATTTCCTGCCAACAGCACTATCTGATTGGTGACACGTTGCAAATATTAGCTTGTATATCAACACTTTGCTACAGTAAAGTAACAGTGGCAGTAAAACTTTTTCTCAGACTATGATGGTTAAACTTTGCAATCAATCCACATTTCACCTGCATGCCAAACCGTGCTGAGGGTGGTGGCAGGTATTTTCGTCACAAAAAAATAAAAGTTTCAAAACATCCCTCCGCTGTTTTCTCACAATTCATACCCTTTTATAGCCTCATAAAGAGATACAGTGCCTTGCAAGAGTATTCGGCCCCCTTGAACTTTGACCTTTTGCCACATTTCAGGCTTCAAACATAAAGATATAAAACTGTAATTTTTTGTGAAGAACCAACAACAAGTGGGACACAATCATGAAGTGGAATGAAATTTATTGGATATTTCAAACTTTTTTAACAAATAAAAAACTGAAAAATTGGGCGTGCAAAATTATTCTGCCCCCTTAAGTTAATACTTTGTAGCGCCACCTTTTGCTGCGATTACAGCTGTAAGTCGCTTGGGGTACGTCTCTATCAGTTTTACACATCGAGAGACTGAAATTTTTGCCCATTCCTCCTTGCAAAACAGCTCGAGCTCAGAGAGGTTGGATGGAGAGCATTTGTGAACAGCAGTTTTCAGTTCTTTCCACAGATTCTCGATTGGATTCAGGTCTGGACTTTGACTTGGCCATTCTAACACCTGGATATGTTTATTTGTAAACCATTCCAGTGTAGATTTTGCTTTATGTTTTGGATCATTGTCTTGTTGGAAGACAAATCTCCGTCCCAGTCTCAGGTCTTTTGCAGACTCCATCAGGTTTTCTTCCAGAATGGTCCTGTATTTGGCTCCATCCATCTTCCCATCAATTTTAACCATCTTCCCTGTCCCTGCTGAAGAAAAGCAGGCCCAAACCATGATGCTGCCACCACCATGTTTGACAGTGGGGATGGTGTGTTCAGGGTGATGAGCTGTGTTGCCTTTACGCCAAACATAATGTTTTGCATTGTTGCCAAAAGTTCGATTTTGGTTTCATCTGACCAGAGCACCTTCTTCCACATGTTTGGTGTGTCTCCCAGGTGGCTTGTGGCAAACCTTAAACGAGACTTTTTATGGATATCTTTAAGAAATGGCTTTCTTCTTGCCACTCTTCCATAAAGGCCAGATTTGTGCAGTATATGACTGATTGTTGTCCTATGGACAGAGTCTCCCACCTCAGCTGTAGATCTCTGCAGTTCATCCAGAGTGATCATGGGCCTCTTGGCTGCATCTCTGATCAGTCTTCTCCTTGTATGAGCTGAAAGTTTAGAGGGACGGCCGGGTCTTCGTAGATTTGCAGTGGTCTGATACTCCTTCCATTTCAATATTATCGCTTGCACAGTGCTCCTTGGGATGTTTAAAGCTTGGGAAATCTTTTTGTATCCAAATCCGGCTTTAGACTTCTCCACAACAGTATCTCGGACCTGCCTGGTGTGTTCCTTGTTCTTCATGATGCTCTCTGCGCTTTAAACAGACCTCTGAGACTATCACAGAGCAGGTGCATTTATACGGAGACTTGATTTCACACAGGTGGATTCTATTTATCATCATTAGTCATTTAGGTCAACATTGGATCATTCAGAGATCCTCACTGAACTTCTGGAGAGAGTTTGCTGCACTGAAAGTAAAGGGGCTGAATAATTTTGCACGCCCAATTTTTCAGTTTTTTATTTGTTAAAAAGGTTTGAAATATCCAATAAATTTCGTTCCACTTCATAATTGTGTCCCACTTGTTGTTGATTCTTCACAAAAAAATGTTATATCTTTATGTTTGAAGCCTGAAATGTGGCAAAAGGTCGAAAAGTTCAAGGGGGCCGAATACTTTCGCAAGGCACTGTAACATGGACTGAAAAAGGATCCATATGAGGATTTGTAAGTACAGCGCGGGTGGCACAGTCTGAGGGAGACGGAGAGGGAAAGAGGTGTGCGAGTAGCCATTCCTTGTGAGCTATAATAATAATTTATAATAATAATAACATTTTTAATTTTAAATTAAATTTACAACGGAAAGTTTTCATTTCAAGTTTTTTATTTCATGAAAACTTCTACAGAAGATAATTGTTACAGTTATTACACTACTACACCACCATTGCATTTTTCTTATCAAACACCCCCTAGAGGCAGCTCACGCACCCCCAGGGCTGCGCGCACCACACTTTGGGAATCGCTGTTGTAAAGTTATGAAATGTTTTTGAGCTGTCTTTCTACACCGCTAACTTGTATCTATTTATTTTGTGCTTTGTAGATGTATGTCCAGTGCACAGTCAGTCTGTGCATTGCCACCATACCCTCTGTGAAGTGCCCTGATCTATGCACCACAACCCCTAATCAGACCAATGTGGTCAGCAGTTTGTTTACTAGCAACTACACTGTCCGCTCAGGACCCATTAGCCTTGTGTATACCACTCCTGCACCATTAACAACAACCGTCAGCACTACTCCGACCACTACTCCGACCACTACTCCGACCACTACTCCGACCACTACTCCGACCACTACTCCGACCACTACTACGACCACTACTCCGACCACTACTCCGACCACTACTCCGACCACTACTCCGACCACTACTCCGACCACTACTACGACCGCTACTACAACCACTACTTCACTAACTACTACAAAACCTGCCCAGAGTACCTCACATGGTAAGATGATATCTCCTAAACAAGACTTTATCTCTTTGTTGCTGTTTTTTGACAATTCATGAAATTAAATATCAATCCACTAACCTGTGAATTACACATTGTTAATTGCAAGGTGAGTTCAAGTTTGTAAAGTATAGGTGAAGTGTATCTTTTATTTTTTCTATGAAGGTAGTTTTATTTTGGAGGAAAATACTGAGCACTGACTCATATAAAGCTGAAGAATTAACTCCTTAACTTCTCCTCTCTTCTCTTGCAGCTCCAGAACACCCCTCAGCCATGGCAGCAGGAGTTATTTTGACAACTATCAGCATATTACTTAAAAACATCTTTGTTTACTGAACATGCTGGTGAAAGATCTGTCAGATTATGGAGCACTACATTTGTCTGTTTGGGACATTTAAAAATTGAATTGTATATTTTGAGCTTTTTCAGAGTAGCTAATAAAGTGAGAGCACATTACATGCTGCTGTACTGCTCACACTGAGTGATCTTTATTACTGTTGCTTATATCACCAGTAGTGGGAAGATGCTAAAGGATAAGACGCAGACAAAGGGTTACGCAATATAATATATTCTCCCTGAAATGGGGCTTTATTTTTAATTTGCTTATATGAGGAGTCCAGGGACTTTGGAGCTTGTTGCATGTCATTTTTCCTCTCTGGTAGGTTTTTTAAATAAGGAAACTACACTAACATTTCATATCTCCATTCATTTGTTAACATCATTGTGTTCAATAAAAAATGTCTTGTCTGATGGACAATACAATACAGCATATTTTTTAAATAAGATAAAGAGGTCAAATAGGCTTTTCTTTTACAATGAATATCAGGCTTTTCATAAAAGAATATAATATTTCTTTTTCGTAAATATCTAAAGTCATAGTCTTAAAGAAATATTCTAAATCTAACCAAAATAATTTGGTTCATCAACAAACACAAAATTAATGACAAATGCTTTCATTTTTGTTATTGTAAAAAAAACACTTTTCCTCAACATCAATCCTGAATCTTAATACAACGTCTGATCGTATTTACGCTGTGAAGAGGGGAGTTCGTCCGAAAGATGGCTGCTGTATTTATACCTTATGTGGGTTAGGGAGCTCGATTTGGCTGTGAGGGTGAGTTCACTTTGTGTTGGGGTGTAAATAGCGAGGGTCTAGTTCCGGAAGGCCCCTGGAGTCCAATCAATGAGACAAGATTGCAGGTGTTGGTTAGAGCTGGCCTGCCCAATAAAAAACACACCAATTAGAATTTTTGCTATTCTCATGAACCATTGCCTGATGTGAACCATGCCATAAACAAAAACAAAAATGCTCTCAGAAGAAGAATTGTTGACTTGCATGAAGCTGGAAAGGGTTACAAAAGTATCTCTAAAAGCCTTGATGTCTATGAAGATTCTTTGTCATCCAGGTCATAGTTACCAACAAATGTTAAAGTCAAGGGCAACTGGACTTGGTTGAAGATACTAGAAGACGTTTCGTCCCTCATCCGAAGGACTTCTTCAGTTCTGACTGACTGGCAGGGAAACTCAGCTATTTAACCTCAGTGGGGTCGTTTGCCCGGGTCATCGATACCGCTGGTTCGTTAGTGTTCCTGGTTGCTGTAACGACAGTCGTTACAGTCGTTAGGACTACCTGTGGCCAAGACTGAACAACCATCGTTGGTATCTTCACCTGAGGCCAATAGGTTACGTTTGTTGAGTTTCCTGGGAAGTGATGAAAGGACAGCATTGTAAGTGGGGGATAAGTGGTGGCGTAGACCCCCTCCTCTGTTCAATGATGGCTTCTCGACCCTGGTGTAGATGCTTCCTTGACACCTCTTTCAAACCATCCATCCTCTCTGTCTAAAATGTGCACCTGGTGGTCCTCAAACGAGTGTCCTCTGTCCTTCAGATGTAAGTAGACTACAGAGTCTTGACCTGAGGAGTTGGCCCTTCTGTGTAGAGCCATGCGTTTGTGTAGTGGTTGTTTAGTCTCCCCCAATATACAGGTCTGTGCATTCCTCACTGCATTGGACCGCACACACTAGATTGCTTTTCTTGTGTTTGGGTGTGCGGTCTTTGGGGTGGACCAGCATCTGTCTTAGTGTGTTCTTGGGTTTAAAAAACACAGGGATGTTGTGTTTGTTGAAAATCCTCCTGAGTTTCTCTGATACTCCAGACACGTATGGAATCACAATGTTGTTGCGTTTGACCTTCTTTTCCTCGTCCCCTGTAGTTTTGTTCTTCTTGGATCTTGTGGCTGTTTTCACAAAGGTCCATTTAGGGTATCCACAGGCTGTAAGTGCCCCCTTCAGGAGAATGTAAGGCGATCTGTCCACCAATTAAAGCTCAGATAGAGTAATATTAATACTGAAACTCATAAACAAAGTTACAAAGTGCTTCACATAAGATAACTATATTAAAGATCATTTAACAACTTGAAGACAATAAAATTAACCAGATAAAATTCAGTCAGGCTACTACAGGAGGAATTCCAACCTGAACAAGTTTTTTGTGTTCTGGGAGATCCAGATATTTGAAAGGCTGTAAGGGGGGCTGTAAATTATGTCAGTGGGAAACACTGATTGAGGTATTGTGCTGACACTCTGTGATCAGCTGTATTATTTATTCAATGTGTAATATCACTAATCCTGTAGTAAGTTTTGAAATTCTTACTGGTTTACAGTGGTTTATTTGGTTTTCTAGGACTATTAGTTTATGATGATGTTAAAAACACAAAATTACAAGAACATAGGTGTGGCTATTTGACTTCTAATGTCTTTTTTCCCGAAGATATGTTGCCCTTCACTGCCAAAAAAATCAATAGTAAAAAATGGATCTGTTGGTAATTAGTGCCTGAATCTTTTCCAGCAATTTCTGTAAACTTATTCTATTGTTGAAGAGGAACAGAGATGCAGATAGTAGTGTTCCTTCCAGTGGCTTTTCATATGCAGATGCGCTTTGTGCAGTGAGCCACAGTGAGGACAGTTTCTACAGCAGCAGCATCAGGAAAGACCCATCTAACTCTTGATCTAATGTTTCTTAATAAGGCTACTATTAATAAGCTAGACCATCAACCCATGCAGGTAAAGTAAACTTCACCTGAGTTTGATCTGACAGGTGTGGCTTTGGAAAGGGGTGGGCCAGGCAGTAGGGCGCTCTCAGGAACACACGGATGTCTTCATTCCCATTGAGCATTTCACTCAGCTGATATGTTTCTGAGGACAAAGCACATCAAAACGGGATATATAAAGATAAATAGGGAGGATATACAGGTAAAATAAAATGCTAATTTGAGCATCTAAATTAATTTTTGACCTTTGAGAACAGTATGTGCTATGAAATAATCTAAGGTCAAAGGTCTACTCTCTTGCTTTTTGTAGATTTCAACCAAATCTCAGTGTTTTGGAAATGGGTTGTTTATTCACTAAAGAAAAAAGAAAAAGACCATAAGATGCGGTTGAAAACTCAGAAAAAATGTAAGTGGATATTTAAGCATATATTATTTTGTTACACACAAAGCCAATGGTTATTTAGAGCATACGTTGTTTAAGTTCGTAAACTGCACTCCCAGAACTTCATGTACAGTATACAATGTAAATAGCTGTATGAAATGCACAACAACAGTAGGATGTGCTTTAATTGAGAGACAGGTTGCATGTGTAAATGCAAAGTGAGGCTTGGCATTGGTCATCAATACTCACAGTACTCAGGACTGCTCTACATATCAACAAAAGCAAAAAAAAGGGCTAATTTATGGTCACACAAAATGTTTAGCTATAGGCTAATGTTTTTTAACTATTTAACTTTTTAACTGAATGTTTACATGAAGTTTTGAGACCAGTATTTTATTAAATTAAAACATGATTTTACCACATTAAAGGTTGTTGCATGCACTACTTAATTTCACTCACATTTTAAAATCTATATTCTATGTTGGCAATGTAACCTGGAAAATACAACTGTAAAATTAAAAATAAAAGTCACGTTTTGAAAATTAAAATCATGGAATTGTGATATATGAGCCCGAATGAGCTGTAAAACATTCAAATTGTATGTATTTGCCCATGTAGGAAACACATCACTGACCTCTCCTAATCCAACACATTACTGGACAGAGATGATAGACAAAGCACACAAGATGTGTGCTTTTTCAGAGCTGTGAATTTTTGCCGCTATTTACTGCTGTGACTATGTAAATATAGTAGTTACAGACAGTTCTGTAGATGAGTGTCACAGGTGTCAGCTTGCAACAAGAAATGTTAAAAAAAACAAGATAAGATATAACTTTATTAATCCCCTGTAGGGGAAGCTTAGGTCAACATAGAAGCACAAAAGAATATAAAAGAACAGATGCAGTTTTGTATAAGTATTAACACACTATTTACACTATACAATCAATAATAATTGTCAATGTAATTATTGTCATTACAAATGGCACGTTTATTTGCACAATAAGAAAACATGCAATGCAATGTAAATATCTAAGAAACAAATGTACATTGTCCAAAAATTTCCTTTTATATAAATAAACCATTCAACCATAAGTTAGTGGGGAAAATGTCTCCAGAATGCAGGAAATTAAGTGTTAAATCTTCAGGGGGAGGACTCCAGACCCCTCAAATCTTCTTGTTTTGTTCTGACCCCGATACTGTGCATCGTCACTTCTTGTGAGCTAAGTGTATCACTGCATCCCTGATCTGAGCCCTACAATGTCCCCACCACTTTTCAGCACAAAGTGACGCCCTTGGTAAAAACTCAAATGTCACAGGTTTTGAGACCAGCCATGTTCTTTCATTTGTAATGCATACATTTTGTAAAGATATCTTCAAGTTGCATGTGAGATGGTTAATCCATTTCTGTCCGAATTAGTATAAATATCAGAATCAGAAAGAGCTTTATTGCCAAGTAGCATTTTACATGTATGAGGAATTTGCTCTGGTGATAAAGTGCTACACATAGTCAAACATACAGTTGACATAAATTAATGTCAAAATATATGGAATAAACAGATGCAAGTTATAAAAGAAGAATAGAACTATGTGTATAGACAGAACAATATGGCAGATATTTAGGCTACATGTGCATTACTCCAGGTTTGTTTTGTGCAGAAATATTAAAAGGGACAGGATTTGTATTTATATATATTCACAAAATATAGAGGAAGAGTAACGAATATGTGCAATATGCCAGTTTGTGCGGTGGTATGCAAAATAGTTACATGTGGAAAGACGTTTATAGTATGTACTGTAAGGAGGGGTGAGGTATAATGTATTGCACTTGGCATGACCATTAACTAACCAGACGCCTTTAACCAAAGATACTGGCTCTCTGCCCTTACTGTATTTGTTTTCCTTCTGGAGAGCTGACCAATCGCACTTTAGACTGGGAGGAGACTAGCCCGCCTTCATGTTAGACACGCCTCTGTGTTCAAGGAACACCGCTTCATACATACACTGTTGTTAGCGACGTAGCCACTT